CCTAATGCAGTGTCAGTAAGAGTATCACAAAGTTGGTTCATGCGTTTTCAGTCCGGGATTTTTGATGTCAAAGATGCAGCACGCTCAGGTCGCCCTCATACAGATAAAGTCGATGCCATTTTTGAAAAAGTAGAGCAAGATCGGCATATTAGTAGTTACGTCATAGCCGAGGAGTTAAGGATTGACCTCATAACAGTTTTGACCCATTTGAAAAACCATCGATTCAAATCTCTTGTGGCGGCGCTGTCGTCGCGCCACAAGCGAAACACATCGAAGCCTAAATCGCGCTATCAAAGTTCCGAAATTAAATCAACATATATAGAATAGCTCCGAACTACCAATCGGAGCGCTGGCCGCTCCCCGGGCAGAACACCTTGCCCGGCGGGAGATCTCCCCTTTTCCTTCCACCCGCAACAGTGGTGACCAACCGACGTGATCTGAACACGCAACCAATAACCTTCGGAAATTACACCTTCAAACCTTCATTATCCTTAAGTACCCCATTCATTCGCTCCCGAGCAGACATTGTCTGCAGTCTTCCCATTCTGCAAGCCATCTAGCTTTACAAAGGTTCATCGCAGCATTGGAATAGTAATGCTTCCTGTTCCTTCAAGCTACTCTCTGCGCTACAGTGTTCGGTACGGCTCTGAGCCTTACTGCTCGCCTCTGCTTCACGGCACTCTCGCAGATTACTTGCCTTCTTTTCGACTCACCGCAGACTACAAGGCAATTCCTGGCACTTGCTCCGGCTCATCGTTCTCACCGGCATCACTTGCAAGTGCGTAGTACGGCATGCATTACACACCGGCATATCATTCGCACCGGCGTCACTTGCCCTTACGCACACAGCATGCATTCCCCACCGGCATTTAAGGACGCACCGGCAATCGGACTGCACTATCGACCTCCGGTCTGAGCAGGGGGGTGATGTGGCGGCGCTGTCGTCGCGCCACAAGCGAAACACATCGAAGCCTAAATCGCGCTATCAAAGTTCCGAAATTAAATCAACATATTATATAGAATAGCTCCGAAATACCAATCGGAGCGCTGGCCGCTCCCCGGGCAGAACACCTTGCCCGGCGGGAGATCTCCCTTTTTCCTTCCACCCGCAACACTCTATTGCCAACAACTGATGAGACTCAAGCAAGTAATTAAGAAAAAACGGCCGTAATTGATCAACAGAAAAGGAGTGGTCTTTCATCATGATAACGCCAGACTACACACATACTTGAACACTCGGCAAAAATTGAGGGAGCTTGGTTAGGAAGTGCTAATGCATTCACCATATAGTCCTGACCTTGCACCCTCAGAGTTTCAACTGTTTCGGTCTCTTCAGAATGCTTTAGGTAGTGTTAGATTAATATCAAGAGACGCATTTTTTTATCAAAAATCCAAAGATTTCTACAGCAACGGCATTATGTCACTACGAAAACGATGGCAACAAGTTATTAAATAAAATTCCACATATATATTATAATCAAATGTAATTAAACTTTGAAAAAAAAATGTGTTGAATTTGTTTATAAAATACGAAGAAACTTTTTCCCGACCTAATATTTATTTTTATAGACAAAATATATAAATTTCTTGTTAATGATTTATAATACTTAATTAAAAAGAAAATTAATCCTCGAAACCTCTGCCTCAAACTGATATCTGTTTACACTTTCCAGCGTTCCACGTGATACTGCTTTACTTCAACCGGAGCTCACAGGATCTTTTGTCATCATAGGGTCAAAAAATATGTTCACCAGCGGATATGAACTATATTTACCAATAGAGCGTATTATCATCCACCCTAATTACACGGGTTGGACTTCGGACTTGGCATTGGTATTTACTTTTTCAAGAATGATATCCGATAAACCGGGAAATATTCTACGTTTAGCAGATGGAAATTCCTTCACCTCAGTACATTCCAACGTTACTGTATTGAGTTGGAATACACAGAAAAAGAAAGATGTACGTATTCACCTAGTTTCCGTAACTATTATTTCAATATTGTAGATTGTTTTTGGCAGAAACTTGACTAACCGCTCATATGGTTCATGTTTTAAGTGAATTTCGCTAAACAACAGTGATCTGATGTTGTGTATTAGATATCTTTGCACGTGGAAAAAATTATATTTGCTGGTTTCGATATTTTAGATCTAGCATAAATCTTAATAATATGTATAAGCCGTGGTGTCTAAGAAGTTAAGCGGTCGGCTAAAAACTTAACTGAACTTTAGCATTCGATCCCCAATTACCAATTAAATATTAATCGTCTGCAGTGAAAAAAACTGTCATAAGAAAATCTGCATGTCATGCATTTGTGATATTTAAAATATTTCGTGGACATATGAGAGGATGACAGCGGCACATACGTTCCTGGCATATTATTAATCCACTGTAGTTGTCGTAGTTCCCACAGTAGGTCGTTACTTTAATTAATAATCTGTATTTTTAGGGTTCCGTACCTCAAAAGGAAAAAACGGAACCCTTATAGGTTCACTTTGTTGTCTGTCTGTCTGTCTGTCTGTCAAGACCCTTTTTTCTCAGAAACGCGTGGAGGTATCAAGCTGAAATTCATATCAAATACTCAAGTGTACTGTCCCTTAGAGCTGTGAAAATATCAAACTTCTAAGCCAACGCAATTAAAAGCTACAGCCGTTTATGCCATAAATTTTCGACATTCGCAAGGGAATCAAAACCTACAGGGTACTTCCCGTGAAATCAGAATCTTGAAATTTGGTACGAAGCAACGTTTTATAGCACAGATAAAGGAAAAATTGCGAACAGCATAAATTTTTAGTTATATCATATAACAAAAATATTTTTTATAATTTTAAAGTTATATACCTACAGATTTTATCGGAACCCTCGGTGCGCGAGTCCGACTCGCACTTTGCCGGTTTTTTTATAGGATAAGGGTGACAAACGAGCACACAGTCCAAGTGATGGTAAGTGATTGCTGCGGCCCATAGACATCTACATCTATCCTCGATTAAATCAATCAAACCTTGTATGTTCAATCCAGCTAATTTCTCTTAGTCATTTTACTACACTCTAAGGGCAAGATGTAAGTATGGAAAGCAAATAAGTAAATGTGATCATGTGTCGCCTCCTGGATTTTTTACATCTCGCATATAGTTATATCCAAGATGATCAAACTGATTTGTAATAGTTACATGGATATACCATCTATATCATCTATCGGGAGCTAGAAATCACCAACGCATTATCCTTGGTTGTTTCTCATGACACTCCCGAGACGAGATGGAGTGATGAATTTAATTAATTTCTTAATTGAAGGTAAGCGAACAGGCGTCATGCTGTGACAATTCTATTTTTGTACACGTATTATTCGTTTTAGGTAACAGCTACTTAAAAGTTATCGCATGGTGACAGTTGTTCGGAGTTATCTGAAGAAGACAAGGTAAACATTTTTAAATCTTGCAATATTTTCACTTACTGTTAGAAAATGATTATATCACTCACAATTAAATTTTTAGAGCGGACGTTTTTCAAATTAAGTAACACGACCTTATTGGACCAAACCGATTATTTACGTACCCAGTAATGAGGATACACAGGTAAATATTACTTTTGTATTCAAAATACAAAATATTTATAAAGGCTGTATATTAAATTCCACATTAATTAAATTGCAGGCAAAGGAAACAAATAACCAAGTAAGTGTTGCAAATATTTAAAACCATATATAACCTCCTTTCTGTAAAAATAAATATTGTCAATTTTTGATTATTATGAAATCACTCGGTCAAATATGGTTGCATTTCAAATTTAATTCATTCTTGCTTCCTTTGAGTTAGACTGGCTTTTCTATATACACTACTATTTTTTAAACATTTTAATATGAGGCAATTGATACAAACTGTTTTATGTAAAGTTTGTGTAGCAGTTACGAGTACTCGTATATATTAGATGTAAAAGAAACGAGCGTAAATTAACTTAGTTATAGTTCAAATTATCATGACGTTTTCATATCAAAACCATATCTTAATTTTAATATGTGTACTCTGTGTTCTTTTGTTTAAAGCAAAAAAATCATTCTATCTCATAGTAATTTTATGATATCTATTGGTCACGCATAATAGTATTTCTAAGCACACGACAAGTTTAATCTTGCTATTTGATCATACATGACAGTATTTAAAGTTGTACCACGACTTATTCAAGCATTAGTTCAGGTCTAGCGTTGTCAACCATCACGTATTTCACGTGATATTTTGTATTTCTTGGTTAAATGTCACTCCAATTAATAATTGATAAATTTCAATCAAATAAATTTCATTATTCTGCCGGAACAGGACATTTCTCATATTTTAGTAAATACAAGAGAGGAAAGCCTTCAAAAAAAGTGAAAACGCAGACTACACAGACATGAGATAGGGGTGTTGGCTTTAAAATACTTGAGCATCCTCCATACATTGCACCTAGACTCAACCGTTTCCTAAAATAGAAATATGCAACGTATTCCATTAAAGTGATTTTATTAACACGCCTTTATTAGCTTGGTATGTATCTATGTAACGGAATTTTTGAATGTGATTTTCATCCCCTTCAGAAGGTCGGATTGATTTGAAACTTCGCACACTTATTAAGGACCGATGACAATATAATAATTTAAATAGTTTGTCCCATTATCCTTGCCAACATCCTCAGGATTAGCGAATAATTCATAAAACAAATACAATTTCCGCCAGTTCAATCTACTTAAGGCAGCGTAAAAGAATTTCGTTCCAAAAAAAATACGCACTTGTGGTTAGCCGCACTAAAAAATAGTAAATAAATGATAGTTTAATAAAAAATAAAATACACGCTTTTGTAGATAACCGAATTAAAAAGTAGAAAATAATTTTCAATAAGTTTCAAATAAGAAAATAGTGATTAACTTAATAAATTAATTTTATTGTAAAAATGCGTGGGGTGCTTTGTGTCTTTTGTTGTAAATATTTTTGTAAATATTTGTAAAATTAGCGTCTTCATAAAAATATCTGAAAAAACATCCTAAGCTTTTTTTAAATAAAATTATTTTTTTATGTAAATCACTATTTTCTTATGTTAAACTTATTGAAAATAATTTTATACTTTTTAGTTCGATTATCTACAAAAGCGTGTTTTTTTTAGTTTATTTATATTATTTATTTTTAGCCATAGATAAAAAATATTTTGTCTAAAGTGCGCAAATGAGTCTAAAACGGACTAATCCTTTGCAACAAAATTTATATTTCACGAGTAAAAAAGAAGAACATCTTTTTAAGCTTTATGATCGTTTGTCCCTTGAGGCCATAGAGCAACACAATAGATGTCGGTGGCCTGTGTTGCTTTATGCTCGAGTCCGAAAAAATATTCTGTATAAATAAATTAATATTTTATTAAATTATATATCAAACATAGGTGAGTTCCATTGAATCACTTCCATCATCGTTAATTATCATCCTTGGGTGGTGATTTGCATGTATTCTTAGAATTATATATGATAACTGAAACCACTTTACGTGTGCCTTTAAAAGAAGCTTTTAATCAAAAATTGTTCCGTTAATTTATATATACTCCAAAATCAAAAATTCGGATATTTTCTTTTATTTTGCAGCAAAGTACACTATACGCGGATGACTATACTATCCTTGAGGTACAAACTTGTAAACAACTAATAAGGAAACTAAAACCCTCATTATACCAAATCCGTAAGTATCTATATGAAAACATTCCACATGTTTCCTTGTAATCTCTTCATATTTTTATTTTTATTACAGAAAATGAAAATGAAACTATTTGTTATTCAAAAACAAAACCCTTTAATATTAACGTAAGTGCCAGTTATAATTAATTGATTTACATGTGAATTACTAGTGATATTTTGTATTCATTGCCGTGGTATCTGCAATACCAACAACCCTGGTTCGATCCCCGTCGGCAACAATGAAATTGTTAATTGCAATTTTAAGTGCTTATTTACCACGTGCTTGGCGTTGATGGAAAGCATCGTGAGGAGATATGCATGTCTTAGAAATAAGAAAAAATTTTTTCAAAGTCATGTTAAATTCGGCAACACGCATTGGAGCAGCGCGACAGACATTTCCTTGCCCTAAAACCGTCTCAGAAATGAGAGGAGGCCTGTGTCTAGCAGTGGGACGTATATAGGCTATAACTTTAACTTTAATATGAAATATATTTAGGTCTCTCAAAATATTTAAGAAATGAGTAATACTCGTATAAAAACAAACAAAATAATCATAGCTCGCTGCTAGTTACTTGCAACTCCAGTATTTTACATTCGGCATAATATACAATAATTTTTACGTGGTAGAGCCATGCTGCCGCTATATTAGTAGTATAGTTGTAGTACGAATGGGTCGGCTCGACCGAGGAAGGACCACGCTCTCACAGAATACCAGCGTAAAATAGCAGCTTAACACTGCTGTGTTTCGTATGGTAAGTGTAGAGAACCGGAGACCCTTTTTACTGGAAAAGAGGCATTTCATCTTAGTCCTCACGGGTGACAACGCATCTGCATTTTGATTTGCAAACGATAGATGTAGATAGATGTCTATGGGCCACAGCAACCACTTACCATCAGCTGGACTGTATGCTCGTTTGTCACCCTATCCTATAAAAAATAAAAAAAATATGGCATACGTCAGAAGTTATTCTGGCCTTGTCCACAGTCACCTCTCACCACTCACTTACATCACCATCACAAAGCACTATTTGCTTATTATTGATTTATAGACTGAATTAATTTAAACAAATTCCTTTAGGGTCAGTCAGGAGCACCTTCAATCCATAGGAATCATCTTGTATCTGTGGCTGCAGGTGAAATTCTAAGTGATAAAGAGCATATTATTATTGGGACAAAGATTAGCTGTTTCTGCAACTGGATTATCGAAAACCTACCGTAAGATTAATTTTTGTTAGTTCCAATTTAAAAATTTGTAAAACGCATGCTTTTCATAAGGTTTGAGTTACTAACGGCAGTCCACTTGATAATGAAGAATACGTTTTTAGAATTCAAAAGAGGGCTCGATCTTTCAGTCTTTACTTGGTATTTTTATTTTTAATGAAAATATAGGCTTTCCCATAGATTGCCAGAAGGGATATTTGCCATAGTTGCCACGCTTGGCATGCGGGTTGGCAACCAAAGTCTTTTTTATTTCTAGTTGTTATCTTACCGAGAATTAATACCGTGACTGAATAAACAGAGCGCGGAGTCTCCGCGCTTTGTTAATTGCAATTTGAAAGTTGATTTAACTCTTCTTTCTATATCGTCGCCAATTGGCACTTCAGCTTACTGATTTGTTGGGTTGAATCGGTTACTCTGATTCTACTGTTAACTCATTTCAATTCAATTCTACTTGTGGCGGATTGGGATTATTTTACTAGATATAGTGGACTGTATTGAGAATCTAAATCCCCTGAAACGTTCAGTTACCGCAGTCACAAAATCACACCAAAAACAGCAACAAACTACTCACGGTCTTACTAGCCAGCCTCCCAAGATCAGCAAACGTTGACAGCTCCTGGTAGCTTCTTCTACACGGTAGAATACACTAGCAATTAGATTGTACACGGTACACTCTGGAGTAGTCCCTTTTTAAAGTTTTTGGAGAGATGTTCACATCACGAACACAAAGAGAATGTGTATGGCTTGTCTCGCCTCCTACCCTCCTCTTCTCTTTTTTTTAACTCCACAGATTATTACAACGCATATTACGTCGCAATGTTGCCACTAGGTGTGACCGGCGCTCCGATCGTAGCAGATCATTGTGCCTCGGTATAAATTTTATGAGTTGCGGTTTATTACTGAACACACCCCCCACCGAAACCATCTTGATGGTTTCTCCTAACTATATGAAAAAGATATTAGAGAAAATATTATAACTTAAGCTACGGAACATGCAAAATAACGCTGAGACACAGAATGTCCTCAACGAGAAAAAAAAATATTAATACACGTAAAAACTAATTTGAATAAGGTAGAGGACTCAGTTTATTAACTGGTCTCTGTAGAGTACTCTTTTGAGTGCGAAGCGTAACACAACGAACAATCCCATCTGGACCGGGGTGAAGAGCCTCAATTCTACCCAAAGGCCAATTGCACGGCGGTACATTATCAGTTTTTATGATTACGAGATCACCTATTTTTATATTAGATCTATCCGAATGCCACTTTGCTTTCTGTTGCAGCGTATTTAGATATTCGTGACTCCATCTACGCCAAAACATTTGTGAACATTTTTGAATATATTGCCAACGTGATAATCGATTTATTGTTATATCCTCTACATTATACTCAGGTACTGCTGTTAACCCTTTTCCAATTAGAAAGTGTCCCGCAGTCAAAACGTTGAACTCATCAGGATTATCACTAGCTGGTAACGGACAAAGCGGCCGCGAGTTGAGAATCGCTTCTACTTTACAAAACACTGTTGTGAGTTCCTCGAACGTCAAACTTTTTTCTCCTACGGCTCGCGTTAATAGATACTTGGCGGATTTAATTCCAGCTTCCCAGAGCCCACCCATATGTGGTGCACCAGGGGGATTAAATCTCCATATAATTTGTCGTTTTGAGCAACCCTCTAATATATTGTTTTTTTGTTCGAGCATAAATCTTTGTACTTCGGTTAAATGCTTACTAGCAGCTATGAAATTAGTTCCGCAATCAGAATAAAGGAAGGAGCACACACCGCGTCGCGCTACAAATCTGTCTAAACACGCGAGGAAACAGTCCGATGACAACGACGATAAGACTTCAAGGTGTACAGCTTTTGTCGAATAACAAATAAATAATGCTAAATATGACCGTTCAACCCTAGCATTTCGTCGTAAACTTTCTTTTGTAAAGAACGGACCACCGAGGTCCACCCCTACATGCTCAAAAACATTACAAGGTATCAATCGGGCTGCTGGCAAAGGTGCCATCTCAGGCTGTAAGAGCACTGGGTTGTGTTTAAAACAAATTTTGCATTTGGACAAAACTGACCGAATAATGTGACGGGATGCTAAAATCCAAAAATTTTGATTAATAATGTTTTGTAAGGTGCGTGGACCTACGTGTAAATATTTTTTATGTAAATATTCAATAAGTAAAAAGGTAAATCTACTATTTTTAGGTAATAAACGAGGATGCTTCGCGTTATAAGGTAACGCTGAATAATTTATTCGACCCCCCACCCTGAGGTATCCGCGTTCGTCAATAAATGGAGATAATTTTCTCAACGACGGAACGTACTTTGTGCCCTTTGACAATCTATTTATTTCATTTGCGAAGTATGCACTTTGTACTAATTTAATTAAAACATCTTGGGCAGTATTTAATTCGTTAGTCGTCAGTATTGATTGCTTCGAGTGACCGGATTTGAGTCGGAACCATCTCAATATTCGAGCAAACGTACGTTGCAGTTTATAATAAGAAGAGAAATTGGAAAAGATTCGGTCACAGAACTCTAACTTAGTCTCCTCTATCGAATTATTTTCATTTGTGATTAAATTGAAGGAGCCTAATGTATGATTTGATTTCATTTCGGGTGTATTACTTTCATGTTGGTTGATAAATGTTCTCACTGGCCACTGCGAATAGTCGTCGTACAACCAAGATGGGCCCTTCAACCACTGCTCACTGCACTCCACGAGCTGTGACGGAGACGCTCCGCGCGAGCATATGTCTGCCATATTGCACTCACTACTCACGTGACGCCAACAGTGTGGAGGTAACACTTCACATACCTGAGTAACACGGTTACTAACAAACGGCTTTAATTTGTAAGCTTCTGTCTGAAGCCACGTCAACACGATAGTCGAATCGGTTAACGCAGTAATACGAGTAATTTTTACACGAGTTAAAATGTCACGGACATATCTAATTAATTTGCTTAACAAAACTGACGCCATTAATTCCAACCTCGGGATAGTTAATGGTTTGACGGGGGCTACTTTAGATTTTGCTGTCACCAGGCGTACTTTAGTTTGACCTCTATCGTTACGACTGATCACATACACACAACTAGCATAACCGCGAGAGCTTGCATCGCAAAAGGCGACCAATTCACATTCGGTCTGTTCTGGTAGCAGCATATGTCTATCTATCTTGATTGCCGTTAGTCGCGGGAGATCATCAACGTAATTAAGCCAGCGCTTAGTTACGTCAGTTGGCAGCTGCTCATCCCATCCTATGCCCAGCTTCCATAAATCTTGCATTATCTCTTTCGCGATGAAAATGCACGGTGAAATAAAACCCACGGGGTCGTAAATAGAAGCTAATAATTTTAAAACAGAACGTTTAGTTGTTACTTTATCAGTCTTATCTACTGTGAAATAAAAACAGTCAGTCAAAGGGAACCATTTCAGACCTAGCACTTTGACTGAATATTCGTTACCATCTTTCATAAATGTAACAGGACACTCTCGGTTTTCTAACGGAACGCGTTGTAAAACTTTTGCACTATTACTCGCCCACCTTTTGAGTATAAAGCCACCGGAATTAAACATCTCTAAAAGTTCATCTTGTAACCGAGATATCTGTGACAATGAACTACAAGAATATAGAATGTCATCCATGTACACGCCCTCGCGCACAACCTTTGCAGCGAGTGGGAAACGTTCTTCCTCGTCATAGGCTAACTGTAAGAGGGTGCGGATAGCTAAGAACGGTGAGCAACTTAAGCCGTAAGTGACAGTTTTTAATTCATAAACGTCAATGGCATCGTTAGGCGAATGACGATACAAAATATGTTGATAACATCTATCTGACTGATTCAGTTTAATTGCCCGATACATTTTGCATACGTCACAAATCAAACAATATTCAAACAACCTAAAATTCAATATTATAGCCCCAATATCTCGATACAGATTAGGCCCGGTCAATAGAATATCATTAAGCGAAACGTTCGTGGACGTTTTAGCCGAGGCATCGAATACCACACGCAAAGGAGTAGTGGAACTACTGGGCTTAAGTATACTGTGATGAGGTATCACATATTTGCTTGGGGTGTCCCCCGAATAAAGCTCCATGTGCCCTAGATTTTCATATTCGCACATGAACTCTGAATAGGCTTGTCGTAATACAGGTGAACGATTCAACTTGCGCTCGGTGAACAAGAGTCGCCGCTCGGCTGCCGCTCGTGACGCGCCCAACGGAGGCGGGTCTGGTATGAATGGTAACGGCACTGAATAGGTACCATCCTCAGTACGACTATAACGAGCCACGAAAATGTCTTCCGCTAATTGTTCCAAAGGATTAATCGAGGGTTTGCTTGGCAATTCTTCGATTTCCCAAAACTTACGCAACGTTTGATCTAAAGACTCTTGTTCATCAAATGAGACTGATAAATTATAATTTTTTAAATTGTCCTTATCATTGCTATAAAGTTTACCACTTACAACAAACCCGAAAGCGGTATCGATCACGCTTGGTATATCCGATGAAATAATATAAGGTTTATCCTTAATAAGTTCCGAAACTATATCATTGCCCAATAGTATATCGATACGCGAACGCTTATAAAATAATGGATCAGCTAAATTAAAATTCTTATATTTATTAATAACGTCCGAGTGGAATCGAACGTTAGGCATATCAGCAGATACCTTAGTCACTACGACCATGTTCAGTGTAAAACTAGGTAGGTCAGTGTGTAGGGACCTTAATGTGCATGTAATCATGCCGTGATTTTTTACAGCCTCTCCACCGAGACCATAAATATTAAACGAACACTTCTTTCGAGGTAAGCCCAAACGTTGAGCACACTCAGTTGTAATAAATGAGCTCTGAGCTCCAGAGTCAATAACTGCACGGCAGTATTGAAGCTGGCCGCTACTATCAATTACTAACACGCGCGCCGTTCCCAATACAACACCGTAACCCGAGTGAGCGTTATTGGAATGAAGCGTATCTATCGTATAACGCTCTGAGTCACTCATAGCCTGAGACGAGACGAGTGCTTGTTGCACTTGCGAGTCAGAGCACAATGGACGGGTGGATGTTGGCACGAGCGTGTCGCTCACTGGCTCCCTATGCAATAGATAATGATGTAGTGACGCACATACACCACAAGACATCTCACTTTTACAAGTTGAGGTATCATGATTTCCTTTTAGGCAATTATGACACAATTTTAAGGTATTGACACGGTCAATCCTTTTATCTACGGTCAATTTACGAAATTGATCGCACCTATAAATCATGTGATTTTGATTGCAATGCGCGCAAATTATTTTTTTATTTTTATTATAATTTGACACATTAGTATTTAAAACTGTCTTTGAATAACTTTTGTAGTGGTTATTATTGTTGCCTTTGTAATTGTTACATATAGACTTATTTCTTGCTTGTAACGACATCGTACTATTCGATGAATGTTCGAGTACTTTAACTTGTTTATTTACAAAACTAATTAATTCCGAAAAAGATGGAAGTGAATTTTGATCCCGATTTTCTTCAAAAAGCCTCCTAGTATGCGCATCCAACCCACGTAAGGCTAAATGACAAAATAAATAGTCATGTAAATTTTTAATTTTTAATGCCTCGATGGCTTTAAAAGAGTGATCGAATGTTTCGATAAATAAAGTAAGATTTGCGGTAGTATCTTTATTTAACGGCGTAAAGTTTATCATTTTGTCGATGTACCTACCCACGAGTATTCGATCATCTTGATATTTATTACATAAACTTTGCCATACGACAGTATAATTAGCGGCTGTTATGGGCAATTTTTTAACAATGTTTAATGCCGAACCTTTAACACATGAAAGCAAATAGTGAAACTTATCTATTTCATCGAAATCTCGATTGTGGACAAGTGATACAAATGTATCGTAGAATGTGGTCCACTTCTCAATATCACCATCGAATTCAAATAAACGTAATTTAGGTAATGACGGCCTTACATCACTCCTATCTTTCCTACTGAGGGATGCCTCCTCGTCCGGTTTTAATCTTAAATATTGCAACCTACATGCCTTATAAAGTTCATCAAATGTATCTAATTCTCGCGTTGACAATCTTGTCTCCGGTTTTAATGATATATCTATTTCAATAATATTTAACACTGTTTCTTCAAACTTTGAGCGGACACTTTCTAATTCGGAATAATCGGCTAAGAAATTCTGAATTTGTGTGGGATCATTTATTTGGGATCTCGCGATATCGAAAACCTTTTGTAATTTAGCAAATAGGTATTCCTTTTTAAAAATAAGTGTTTGCCTTTTTATTTGTAATTTATCCGACATTATGAACAAATTACAAAATTAATACTTTATAAACGCACCGCGAGCAATGGACATCCAGGTAAAAAAGAGGCAAATTAAATAAGGGATATTAAATTAATTAAATGCGTAGTTTTACTCAAATATATGACGTCCACGGGACGCGAATTAAGGGTAGAAAATTATTATTCGAAGATCACTAATTCGAATATATGCGGCTCGAAGGCCAGAAATGTGGCGGATTGGGATTATTTTACTAGATATAGTGGACTGTATTGAGAATCTAAATCCCCTGAAACGTTCAGTTACCGCAGTCACAAAATCACACCAAAAACAGCAACAAACTACTCACGGTCTTACTAGCCAGCCTCCCAAGATCAGCAAACGTTGACAGCTCCTGGTAGCTTCTTCTACACGGTAGAATACACTAGCAATTAGATTGTACACGGTACACTCTGGAGTAGTCCCTTTTTAAAGTTTTTGGAGAGATGTTCACATCACGAACACAAAGAGAATGTGTATGGCTTGTCTCGCCTCCTACCCTCCTCTTCTCTTTTTTTTAACTCCACAGATTATTACAACGCATATTACGTCGCAATGTTGCCACTAGGTGTGACCGGCGCTCCGATCGTAGCAGATCATTGTGCCTCGGTATAAATTTTGTGAGTTGCGGTTTATTACTGAACACTACTGTTTCAAAGTCTATCACGCAGAGAAACTCCGAGCATAACCCTGGTTTTACACTCTTGTTTTTAAGTTCTGTGGTAAAACCGACAACCGAAGAGCAAGTAAGGTTCTTGAGTGGCTACCTCGTACCGGTAACCGAAGTGTAGAATGGTCCCCTCACTAGATAGAATGACCGGAAAAGTAGCAGGTAGTTGATGGATGCATGTGTCTGGAGGCAGTGCTTTTTGGCATTTTTTGAAAGAAGCCTATGTTCAGCGGTGGACTTGTGAAGGAATGACGATGATGATGATGATGATGGTGACGTTGACACAGTAAATTTATTGATAAAATTGCGTGTAAGTTATAACGCTATACACCATTTTACTTCTATTCTTAGCTCTAAATTCAAGATTTTCTACTCCTAACGACTAATATAAAATGCATCATAGTCTATTATTGTGCTTGGTCCGTTACTATTCAAAACATCATCGGGATCATTTGTCACTTTAATTTATAAAATTTTAAAAAATCGAATACGTGAATCTAATCGAAATCAATCCCTATATTTTTAATTCGATGTTTAGGGAAAAAATATACTTAAAAGATGTTATTATCGTTATAGAAACGTTATTTTGTTATTTCGTCACTATTTTTTTTATAATTATAATATTTTTTATTCCAGAAGCGGAGGTGATCATGTGATTTGTTGCAAAGATTGTTGCAATATATTGGATAAACAGTTAAATCAAACATTTATGTTTTTAAAGTAATAATTTATATTATTTTATTATTTCTAATAAATAATTTGAATTCCTTATGATTCTATGTCTTTTATTCAGTTTCAATATAAGATACTTAAATGATTTTTTTATATTAACGCAAATACTACACATTGAATATACCTATTTTATGGATTGCGTTTAATTTATGTAACTAATAGTAATTTAAATTAAACGCTAAAAAATTCATACTACGCGTTGAATAAAACTACTTTTAATACTTAACACTAACTATTCACTACCATTATTAATTAAACTTTAAATTAGTTTTATTCATTCAGATACTTTAATTAATATACAATTTGTTTAATGTTTAATAAAAGTAGTAAAGTGCTTTGGGGTTATTACGAAAATGGGGGAATTCCAATATTTACAAAATACGACTTAACTTGGCAATATTTTTTGCTGTGGTTACATTATTCTAGACGATATCTTATTTGTCTCCCTCGCTTCAGTCGTGTCAGGTAGGGGTTATTTTCATTTTTCCTTTAATAAAACATTTAAGCTTGTTTATTGACAAATTTTGTACATTTTCTTGGATTTTGTTGTAAAAGCAAAATTATGTTCTCTTAATGTTTAAAGTATGAACATTTTTATTCTTATCAGTGGTATTTATTTTTAATGTACATACACCACATTTTCATAAATATTTTGCGATGCCAAAGTCAATATGTATTATCCTCGTAAGGCCCAATGACCTAATTTAATGACAAAAATATTTTGGCATTCCGGCCCAACACAGCTTTTAAAATCGTCAAATTGCGGCCCGGCGACCTAAAATTATGACATGATATTTGAACGTAATTTTTGGTTTAAATAATCCCGCCATTTTAAATCTGCCATCAAAAAACTATTAACTATGAACGCATCTCTAATTTTGGCAATGTCAACTTGACATTTAAGAACCAAGAATCTGTCTTTTTGACATTTCATCTCATGTGAACGGAAGTCTCGTGGAGATTGGTAAGTAAATCTATTCATACCTTTATAATCATAACATGGTGATGTCTAAAATGTATTGCAAACAGTTGCGGATATATTATATTTTGTTCCGACATGTTTTTTTTGTAGAAAAGTCATTTTAATTCCGTAATATTCGAACGATAAAAACTATGTCCCAAAATAAGGTCGGTGGATTTTTATTGTAAAAGTTAGCCTAATTTCTATGTCATGATTTTAGGACATTGGGTGTTTACTTTATTTTCTTTTGTTTAAGCCATGGACGACGAAGCTATAGAAAATCAGCGTAATCTGGACGTATCCGAGTTCGAAGATGATGACGGCGATGATGATATCGATGATGTGGATTATCGACCTCAGGGCCGAAATCGTCAATCGGACAATTCAGCAGAATCGTCTTCTGATTTTGAAGGTGAGCTTACAGTTTCAAGTCCTGCGATTTCTAATTCTTTTGTTACGCGAGGGAGGAGCTTACAGCGTCGAGGTGGCCGTCGTGGTCGAAGAATTTCTTCGATTTCTCGAGCAAGTAGTAGAAGAGCAAGTTCATCTCGTGGGAGATTGTACCAGCAAGTAGAAGCTGAAGATAACGAGGATATTGGCAATGACGATGGACAATTTGGAGGTTGGAAAGAAAAAGATTTTAATCCTGATATAATTCCTTTTATGCAGCCATCGTATTTACCTCTTAATGACAAAGAATTCTGTAAAATTGATTATTTTCGTCGATACGTAAATGATGAGCTGATGAAAATTATCGTAGATAGATCCAATGAGATGTATCTATCAAGAAACGGCCAGTTTTTAAATTTGACACTTCCCGAGTGCTACATTTTTATTGCAATTAATTTAGCCATGTCTTGTATTGGATATCCAATTCTCCGAATGTACTGGCAACACAAATTTCGTGTCGCTTTTGTAGCTGATCATATGTCTCGGAACAGATTTTTCATTCTTCGGAATTCTTTAAAACTCGTTAATGACAACGACTTTTCTGCCGAAGATAAAAGTAAAGACAAGCTCTGGAAAGTTCGCCCTCTTATCAAAGAAATTCTTAAGGGTTGTCATTCCATACCAAAGGATCAAAAACTGTCAATTGACAAAATGATAATTCCTTTTACGGGCGCCTGTGGGATGAAGCAATATTGCCCAGGTAAACCTAATCCTACAGGTTTAAAAACTTTTGTCTTGGCGAATCCCACCGGAGAAGTGTGTGATTTCGATATATATCAAGGGGCGACTACATATCCTTCTTATGCTGATACATCATTCGGGTTAGGAGAGAAGGCAGTTCTTGCCTTAACGGAGGATTTGTTGCTGGGACATATAATTTACTGTGATAGGTACTTTACCACCGAGACACTGATTGTAGAATTAAAAAACAGAGGCCTGATGTGCTCTGGTACATTGATGAAGAATAGAGTACCTAAGTCCGCAAGATTAATACTCAAAGAGGACAAAGACTTAAAGAAAGCAGGGAGAGGGAGTTGTCAGGTATTGGTCAACGATGAGAAGAATATAGCTATAACTAAATGGTTTGATAACAAACCTGTCACTTTCCTGTCTACTGTGCATGCTGCCCAAACTTCCGACACCTGCCAAAGATGGTGTAAACAGAATAAAGTGTATGTTACTGTACCAAGACCGGAAGTAGTAAAACAATATAATTCTAATATGGGAGGAGTCGATCTTGCTGATCGTCTCTTAGCTGTGGCGCCGTCGAGATATCGAACAAGAAAATGGACAACGCGATTTATCGCACACATGTTTGATTTGGCTACAACTAATTCATGGTTAAATTATAAAGCAAAAGAGTTACGCAAAAATGTCCCGGTGAAAAAAATTCAAGGTGAAGCAACTGAGGAGTTTTAAAATGGAAATAGCCAAAATTTTAGTAACTGCTAATTTCACCACTAGTTCCGAAACAGAAGACGAAGAACAGCTGTACCGCTTCCCAGCGCCAGTTCAAGAACTCATGGTGCACTCCATTTGCCGTCGGCTGGAGAAGTTCAAAACAGGTGCAGAAGACCAGGATGCAACAAGAAAAGCACAATTATATGCAAGAAGTGCAACATTCACTTGTGCCTAACTAAAGAACGAAATTGTTTTTATAACTTCCACACTGAGATTTATTGATTGATACATTTGTTTAAAATTTTCTTTTTTAAGTATCTATATTTCTAATTAGTATTGTGTGTGATACGACAACTTGAATATTATTATTTGAAATATTGCCATTGATTATAGTAAGTAAGAACATTATTTTAGTAATATGATTAACATGTGTAATGCAAAGATACATTGTTTGCTAAAAATGAGACTGATTTAGAAAATTTTGGAATTTTGTTACATAAAATTATTAATTAATAAGGTTTAAAATGAAGGAAGAAAATAATTAATATTTTTTTACAAAGTTTATTTTTATTTCTGGTATAATTTGCTATTCCATGATAAATAACTGAATAGATTTGATTGATTCAAACTAATGTTATATATTAAACAGTGGCCCAGTGACCTAAAATAAGGACAAGCTATTTCAACATATTTTTGCGTGAAATAGGTAACTTTAGGTATAGGAAATACCCCTTAAAATAATTTGACCAAAAGTAATACATTTACACACTTTTGTACTTAACTAAAGTTCTGGGCCGCAACTACTTGCACTTATTTTTAGTACGTTGGGTCGTAATGTATATCGACCTAAATTTAGGTTGGGCCTTACGAGATTATAATATATATTTATTTAATTTGTTTTTCTAAGGGACTCTTTACAATTTAAGTTATAAATCGCTTGTACGGCTCTCTTTCGCAAAACAAATATGACTTCAATATTCATTTTAAGAGCAAATTGGTATTTGAATCCGCTCCAAAGTTTTGCTCCTCTTCCGAAATTTCATGAATTAGTATCAAATAATTGTTGATAGTGGTGCATCTTTAATTTAATATAAAGAAATACATTTTGGAGCAGCATTATTAATCTTTAAAATATGTGTGTTATCATATATATTAGTTACATAACTTTTAAAAAAAGTATAGTTATGTGTGTGTAACACATATATAATGTGTTACACACACATAACTATACTTTTTTTAAAAACAAATAATTTACAGAAGTGACTTATTTATGCCCACTATATCATTGTTTATATGTGTGATATTATTTTTAAGCATTTCATATATTATAACGTACTTACATAATACCAAAGCCATTTACGAAATTATTATTAATCTAAAAATTGTGGAAAAGCGACCACATAAAGCAACAAAAATAAATACCAAGAAAAAATATTTAATGAAACTTTGATATCTTTGACTATGCACAGCCACATATTCCTGAACATGCAGTTAGTATAATATAGCATAAATATCGTGGAAGATTATACAATTTTGAAGACAAATTGTTAGCATTTTCAATATGTAAGCTTCAAAAGATATAGATTTTTAAAGAAATTGTTCATTTTGTCCTTAAGACGTACATTAAAAATGTCCTTAATTAAATAATAATTAAACCAGATATAAACCTAATTATACTCGTATTTAAGGAAATGAAAGAACAAAGCTTGAGCATGGCAGAGTGTTTGTGCTTCTTAATGTTTGATGAAATGCTTAAGTCTTTTATTATATATATATTATTTTTTATTTTTTTTATAGGAGAGGGGGCAAACGAGCATGCGGCTCACCTGATGGTAAGTGACTACCGCCGCCCATAAACAACTGCAACACCAGGGAGGGAATTGCAAATGCGTTGCCGGCCTTTTAAAAAGGAATACGCTCTTTTCTTGAAGGTCCCTAAGTCGTATCGGTCCGGAAAAATCGCTGATGGTAATCGATTCCACAAGGAAGTCGTGCGAGGAAGAAAACATCTTCTAAATCGCACAGTGGTAGACCGCCAATCATCCAGATGGTGTGGGTGGTATCGGGAGTTCTGCCGCGATGTGCGTTCGTGAAATTTGGCGGCTGGGATTAATCCGAATAATTCCTCAGAGCACTCCCCATGGTAGATGCGAAAGAAAATGCAAAGGGATGCAACATCT